AAAAAAAAAAAAAAAAGAAGCTATGTGTTTATTATACAAAACAATACAAACACAACTTGTTCAGGGCTGCAAAAGCAGAGAATAATGTTTGCTGAGAAGAAAGGAACGGTTTTAGAGAGCATAAGTTGATTTATAGTTGAGCCAATTGCACTGGATAGGTTAGGTATGTATATACATCAGAGATTTATATACGTATGATGTAAAATGATTTTTGGTGTTACTAAACTATTTTTTCCTTGACATTTACAAGTTTTGATGATACTACACTCTACTCTTTAAAGGAAAGTATTTCTACAATTTTTTTAAAGTTTCTTTTTTTCGTTTTCTAGATTAACTTCTTTTTGCAGTTTATTTTAGAATTAGAGCAACGTATGAGTAAATACTGTACGTCCTTATTTGTTGCAAGTAATCGATGTAGATCAGTGTTTTTTTTATATTCTTTTTTCTATTTATAAAGTTTTTTTTGTAGTTTTAAGATTTTTCCGGGATTTGGAAGAAGTGTTTTTTTTTGCTTCAAAAGTAAGTCAAGATAACTGTCATTCCTCTTCCATAAGCGGCTGTAAATGTGCCAGAGTCAAGTAAGGTTCTTCAGTTGACGACATCGTAGGAACAACTGTCACCGCGTCATAAGACGGTCAAGTCTTTTGCATTTAGTTTGTTAATTGTTTGAAGTGGTGCAGTTGAAACTTCGTATATGTCGCATATTTACCCATCATCCAAAAACGACGCTTAGTTTCAAAAAAAAAAAGAATTTTTTTATTTAAAAACACTCACCCTGTTAATGTGAATGGTAAGTGAAAAGAATGAAAAAAATTTCTGGGCAACTGGAACGATGGAATGGAATCCTGTAGATGAAAACGACGTGTTTTGTTTTCTATTACGGCGTTTTGTTAGCCGATACCCATAAAACTGTGTGATGTCTGTTGTGAATTCTTCCGGTGCTCAATTGTTGTTCTGTTTGTGACCGGCAACATTTGATGACACCAACAGAGTTGACGAGGACGAACGATGCCGACAACAGATGATCAAGTTAACGTTTTTTGCGCTTTATTTAACTGCCTTTAGCCATTGGTCCATCATTTTTTATTTATTTTTGTTTGTCCATAATCTATATACCTGAAGTAATGCTGATTGGAAGTAGAAAAGAAAAAAGCTAGACTTCATAATCCTGCATTCACACCGATGAAAAAACTGCACAGATGTAAGAATATAGCAATCTCAGGAAAACAAAAGAATTTAGGTTTACGGAAATCGCTTGTTAATATATGTCTGCATGTTCATGTCCCTTTTTTCCTGCCTAAATTTGCTTATTTTTTTCCATTCATCTTGAATAATCGCTAGAAACAAATCATAAATTAATTTCATAGTACAACAGGTTGGTGTAGATTAAAAATATTAAGTTGGTATGAGTGGAGTAATTATTTTTCAACGAGGATGCTTTCATCATTATTAACAACAAAAGACTTTATCATTTATCTTCTTTTCCTTTTTTTTTTCGTTCAGTATTACCACCAGTTATCAACAAACTGGTCGGATGAGTAAATTGTAACACACGTGGTGATCAGTAGTTCAAAAAGCGACAATCGACTCTCTGATTGCCGCGTGTGGATAGAGTCACAGGATTAATCGAAAAACAGGAGGTTAGTCGGGGAAACCGAAGGAAAAAAAGTAGAGTAGTGACAGTTAAACCATTTCCTGACAGTTTCTTCCTACAATTACTTCCCATTCTCATTTTGTATAAATCTGTAACAACGGTATATGGAAGGAGGGAAACGAGGAGCGAAAGGGAGATGGGTTAGCGTAGTGGTATCAAGTCCAGGGCATAGTCTGTTGACAGCGATCATGACGGGACCGGTAATATTAATAATAATATAGGGAGGTGAGGGGAGCAGGTAATAAGTATGTTTGTGGTTAATGCCGACAGTTGTCGGGTTAGGGCGTGCCGTTGGTCGACGTCGATACGGCGGTCCTGTTCTCAGTGACTGTTTGTATGTCTATGTGTTTTTGTGTGTATGTGTGTGTCTGTTAGTGTGTGTCCGTGTATGTGTGTTTGTGTGTATTTGCAACACCATGAAGATGGCCTTCGTTGGGACAACGTTCCTTATAATTTTTAGGAATAATCAAATGTTTGTTCAGTTTTCTATCAACTTGTTCTTCTCTTAGCCAAATTTTTACCCATTCTTTTACTGAACCTTTTCTTTTACCATCTATGCACCTCTGATCACCCACTGTTGCTACTTGGCTTTTTTTTTTTCACCTCCTTCGCCTCCTTCTCTTCCTTTGCAACTCCGTCTCATATAACCGCTGCTTCCTTCTATACGTTCCTTTTCTTCCCTTCTTTTCCTTCTTCACTTCAGTTGTTTTGTCATTCCAATTGCCACCTTTGCCATCAATACCGGTCGACTAACATCAAACCAGTGTACATACTTTACTGATATTGCCACTGTGGTTGCCGTTGTAGGAAGCGGAAAATTTTTTCTT